AGGAGAATGCAGCCACATTTTCCAAGCAGGGCATATATGTAAGGTCTTAGGCACAACCGGACAAGATGTTAATGATATTCTGCACAAAACACCTGGCGCTAGAAATTAGTGCTTACACACACACACACACACACACACACACACACTTTTTATGTAGGGGGGTTGTATTTTTCTCATTATAAAACACACACACACCTTTATCTGTGGAACACTCTTGATTAAAAACTGTGATTTAAAAGAATCTCATTCTTATCCTTACAACTCAGTTATTTTGTATTTTAAGACATTTTCTATCAGTAATAGAATCAGTTTACGACATGTAAACAACTTGCCTCATTATTAATTATTTGGTTTAGAACTCAATAAAATAGGGGCAACTTTCTAAATTGTTTACAGAACTAGTTGTTTCTCTTAAATGGGGTAGTGGTCAGATTTCTTCATAGGTGAATTTCATTTTGAAAAGTAGGTATCAGGGCTGGAGCGACTGCCTTGCACGCAGCTGACCCAGGATCCCAGCATCCCATATGCTCCCCCGAGCACCGCCAGGAGTAATTCCTGAGAGCAGAGCTAGGAGTAACCTCTAGGGCTTGCTGGTTGTGACCCAAAAAAAAAAAAAAAAAAAAAAAAAAAAGGTAGATATTGATCCCCTCCCCGCCCCCGTAGGGTTACATCAACTTCTGTGTCATTTCAATTTGAGTCTCTGTGCTGCTGAAGGGAATACCCCTGGTCACCCAAACCATACTGCCCCCCTGGAGTCATGGGGTCAGGAGGCTGAGGGGACTTTCCCTGCACGAAGAGCACAGAGGGCAGAGAAGGACAGGTCTTCCTTACCCTAGCCATCAATTAAAAAACAATAGTCCTACTATTATGATTCTTCTTTTTATTTTTTTTAATCATCAATTTATGTTAGGGAGAATAAAACAATGCCTCTAGCCCTTAATGGGCACTTTCAAATTAGGACAGTCCTAAGGTGAGGTGTTTGCAACATCAGAGGAAGTAGATACGTGTGGCTGCCTGTTTTGACAGATGGGTCCCAGAAAATTCAATGGCTTGCAGGGAAAGGAGTGAGAGGGATGCTGGCATGTGAAGTCTTGATTCAGAAGGGTCCACTTAAGGAAAGTGATTTGCTGGCTGCTCAACAGAACCAAGATCAGTCCAACGCAATGCTCCTGCCCCTTGCAGAGTGTGGCAATTTGGTCCAACAGGCTGAGTTTGTAGGTCTGGTTGGGGAACCTGAAGTCACAAAGAGCACAGACTCCCTCACCAATCCTTGCCTTTCGGTTAAGGTTATCTGTTTGAATACACTGAGATTTATTCTGGAAAAAGAAAAAAAAAAGAAACAAAACAACAACAAAAAGTGGTATCCACACAATCTGGGTAGGACATTACTGAGAAGGGAAAACAATTCTGAACTTCCTCTCCTAGAGAGAGGAGACATTCCAAGACATTCAAAGGTATTTCTGAGGAATCACGACCGTCCCCCCAGGTCTGGCTAATTGGCTGTTGGAGGTTCAACCAATGGTAGTTCATTTAGAAGATAATGTCTATGGCAAGGTAATGTAGGTGGTGCACCCTTTCAAATTTTCCAGTGGTCACGTGAAAAGAGAAACAAGTTCTGTTTTATCAAATATAAATACAACCAAAATGTTTCTGTAGTATGCAGTCAATAGAGCATTTGAAATTTATTCCAAAAGATTTTTATCTTTTGAACAAAACTCCTTTTCTGCTGCTACCAACTGATGTTCCTTACTGTTCCCTCCAGCTAACAAGTTTCCATTCAGACAGAATAAGGATACCAATATACTGGGCAGGTATATCAGTTGGGCCTTAAACAAAGGCACTTTCTAGACAATAAATGAATTAGGCAAGACCCAAGATTTTCACATGGTCCTCAAAAGAAAACCAGTACCGGGTACTAGTGTCTCAGCCATGAACACACAGCCATGAAGCGACAGACCGAACCCTGATTGAATAAGTAAGGCCTGTCCTCTTTTTCACTTCTAGCACTGACTACATTCTTGAAAGAGTCAGAAAGTGAATCATTTATGCATATAAAGTGAGAATGGGATTGGGACAAGTAACAATGCACTGTTGATTATGCCCACTAAGTACCAACTAATCCCAGGATGAGTAACCAAGTCAGACTTTTCTTTCAGTAACGTCTCTAATTACTTTATAAATCTGGATCATCCTGAGAATGCCATTATACTCCTTTTTTCTAACTTAAGTAACCACACAAAGATCTTTTAAGCCATTTGTTCTGAACATAGGGCTCTGCTAGTCAGAGATTTGATCAAGATGCTTTTTATGAAAAAAAAAATTTTTTTTATTTTTTGAGTTATATGTGGGTGGAGCGATAGTACAGCAGGTAGGGCATTTGCCTTGCGGGTGGCCAGCCGAGGTTCAATTCCTCCGTCCCTCTTGGGAGAGCCCAGCAAGCTACCTAGAGTATTTGGGCTGCATAGCAGAGCCTGGCAAGCTTCCCGTGATGGATTCGATATGCCAAAAACAGTAACAAGTCTCATAATGGAGATGTTACTGGTGCCCATTCGAGCAAATTGATGAACAAGGGGAGGACAGTGCTACCTGGCTGTGCTCAGAGGCTGCTCCTGGCTCAGCATCGAGGGGGGTGGGGTGTGTTGTGTTTCCATGTGCCTAAAGCATTCACGCAGTCCACTGAACTATCTTTCCAGCCCCCAAGATGCTTACAGACTAAACACAAACTCTGTCTTCCCTCTCCTTTTGAGTGATCATGTTCATTCCTTCGAGCACTGACTGGAGAGCTATGAGGCCAGGTTATATGCTTATATGCCAGAGAGGGAGATAGAAAATAAACATGCAATCTCGGGTGTCAAAAAAATTGATAGCAATGACAGGAATGGCATATAAAGGTTCTGGCCTTCTCCCCGTTATTTACCATGCCAAATCACTTGATTCAATCACTGCCATTTCCAAAGTGTGCGATCTCATATACTTCAATTTTTCCACTTCAAATCAAGAGGGCTTTGGGTGAGAATTATAAGCAAACCCTGAAAGAAGCCCACAGAACTGGATTTAAACAAAAACACCAAGCCACTTCCTCCCAGGAAACAAGAATGAGAAGCTCCAAGACAAAGACTTGGGAGGAGGATGAGGAAGTACCTGCAGGTCTCCAAGATGGGATGAGACTTGGGGAGGAGCTGCCTCAGTTTCCTTTGTGGGAATTCTCTCACCACCCTGATCCAAAGCAGAGGATGTGGTCCCTTTTTGTCCCCCCACACCCTGAGCCTCACACATGCAAGGCATGCATTCTACTGCCGAGTTGCACCCCCACCATTGATGTGGTCCATCCCAGCAGGAATGGGGCAGACTAATCCCCAACACAGCATTCACTTCCACTGGCGTGTCTTCAACTACTTCGAAGTGCAGAAAAAGTCCAGTCTATTGAATAGACTATTTTTCATCTTTTAATTTCAGTGAATCACCATGAGATAGTTACAGACTTAAGACATTTTTGTGATTACGTTTCAATGTTCCAGTACCCATCCCTCCACCAGTGCCCTTTCTCCAGCACCAATGCTCTCAGTGTCTATTCCCCTCCCACCCTCCACCCTCGATAGACACATTTCTTCTTTCTCTCTCCTGGGTGTTATGGTTTGCAATATAGGCACTTGGCAGCCATCATGTTGGGTCCATAGCCTACTTTCAGCATCTACCACCTCGAGCGATCCCTCCAACCATCATTTACTTAGTGGTTGGTCTCTTCTCCCTTCCACCTGCCTTTCCCCCCCAACACATGAGATTGGCTTCCAAGTCTTGGGGCGATTCTCCTGGCCCTTATCTCTACTATCCTTAGGTGTTATTTAACAGATTATTATGTTATTATGATAGTCTATTATTGCTTCATTTGGGGATACAGAACAGTATTTAGTGCTCGTGCAGTTATACAATAACCCCCCCTTGTTCCCAAACCAATGGAAGGGTCTTCACACAGTGCAGGAATGACCAGGTGATCTGTGTCTCCTGATAAGAAGCAGAGTGAAGCTCATTTATCTGGTTATCAGAAGTCTGGTTATCAGGCTGCCAGACCTGACTAGTGAGTGGCCACAGCAAAATCAGTGCATTTGAGGACACTAAATGACACTTAAAAGGATGAATCAATAACACCCAGAATATAGACAAATTCTACAGGGTCGAGAGGAAATGAAGAAACTGGGTGGAAACCTCTGGACAAAAAAAAAAAAATTTTATTTGGTGCTATGGATCAAACCCAGGGTCTCTTGCCTATGAGGGATGAGTTTTACCAATGAGCTGCAAGACTTTCTTTGGGCCTTTGAGACACACCAGGCAGTGCTCAGGGGATCTTTGTTCCCTGTATGCTCGGGGAACTGTGTGGTGTCTGGGACGCTGCATGCAAAGCATGAACTCAGCCCACTGAGTTCTCTCTCTGGCTCCCCAGAAAAGCTCTCGGTATAGGGGCTGGAGCGGCAGGACAGGACCACAACCTGTCTTCAATCCCTGGCACCACGGATGTCCCCTGAACCTCACCAAAGGTAAATCTCTCCATTCCAGGAATAAGTCCTGAGTACTGGGTGTCACCCCCCGCCCCCAAACCAAAACCAAACAAAACACTGCACCCTCAAAAAGCTTCAGGAATATAAGCAGCAGACTTCCTCCAAACCCTCAAAGAAACAAAAACAACTGTCAAAAGTTAGAGACTAAGGTTAGGATGGTGGCATGGGGGAAGGGGAGGGGGCGCGTTACCCAAATCTAAGGAAATAGGAGTCATCTGCCCTTATCTTTTCAGGGTACAAAGGGCAGTGAACTGATGATAAAGACAGAACCAAGAGCTGGAGAATTCCCGCTGATTGCTCCAGCAGGTGTGAATTTAGAACTCCCATGACGGAGGCTGAAGACGCTTGTGGGCTGGCCGCTTTCTCCTCCACAATCTCCCTATCTCCCCACTGCTGGACCCCTCTCCACCCCAAGCCCCCCTCCCCCTTGCCTCCAAAGAGACTCACCTATCGATGAACTGGTCAAGGATGACGATGTCACCAGGCTGGATCTCCTCCCGCAAGGAGCCGCAGGCTGTGGTCACTATGACATGCGTGCAGCCCTCCTCCCGCAGAGCCCAGATGTTGGCCTGGTAGTTGACTTTCGAAGGCATGATGGTGTGCTGCCGCCCGTGCCTGCAGCAAGGTCAGCACGGCAGCAGTGAGCAGTGCATCTGGGAGCAGCTTCCAGGCCTTCCCACCAAAGCGCTCTCACTGGCCAAGCAAGAACGGTGAGGGGACAGGGAGCATATGCGACTCCAAGTACAAAAGCAGGGTTTTCAGGGGCAGGCTGGTGGCACGGCCCATGGACTGTGCTCTGTACCAAGAATAGCTATGAGGGGCCGAGAGATAGTACAGCAGGTGGCATGTTTGCTTTGCACGGGTTCGATCCCTGGCATCCCATCTGGTCCCCGAGCACCGCCATGGAATAATTCTGGAGTGCAGAGCCAGAAATAAGCCCCGAGCATCATCAGGTGTGGCCCCCAAGCAAAACAAACACACAAAAGGAATAGTTATGATTGACCCTCAAGAACCTGCACATTCAACGGCATACATTTCCTAGTCCAACACATCTCCATTCAGCTGGCAGAGAATAAAACCTACACTGCACTGTGGGGTCACCCCCCACCCCCCCTACTGACAGTTTTCTCTCTGAACGTGGGGTAATGAAGCAATTCTCCAGCAAGAACCCCAATCCAAGGGAGGTGGACTGAAATCTACTAGGTGACCCTCTAAAAGTAAAATTTTGGGGCTGGAGAGATAGCACAGCGGGTAGGGCGTTTGCCTTGCACCCAGCCAACCCAGGTTTGATTCCCAGCATCCCATATGGTCCCCTGAGCACCGCCAGGAGTAATTCCTGAGTGCAGAGCCAGGAGTAACCCCTGTGCATCGCCAGGTGTGACCCAAAAAGAAAAAAAAAATAAAAGTAAAATTTTTTGTATAGGCTCTGGCAAAGCCACTTCTACATCCAAAAGGTGCAGTAGCAGGTGGAGAAATAGCTCAGCTTGCAATAGGTCCTTGGTTGGATCTCTGGCAGTAACAGTAATGGGGAAAAAAAAAAAAAGAAAAAAAAAAGAAAAGCAGGGGGAAGGGAGGGGATTCAAAGGGTTGGAGCTCATGCCTTGCAGACTCAGAGGCCTGAACTGGATCCGGCACCTCATGGGCCCTCTAGAGGGACCTCTGCTGGGTAGGACAGTGGTGTTACTTCCAACACTGAGCATGGAAAGACCCAGCCCAGTGAACCCACTGCCTGGGAGTATCCCCCACACCCCATAAAAAACCAAACCAAACCAAACAAAGCAGCATAACCAATGCTGGGGTGGTTTTGAGGGGGGAGGTGGGGTAGGATGGGCCATCAGGCTCTTTAGAAGTTGCTGCCATGGAAATATCTGTCCATGAGGGACACAGGACAGGGATGGAGGTTGCCCCAGGAGCTGCAGCTTCTGCCCAGCAGGAATGGGGTTCTGCCCACAACCCCCTCATGAGCTTGAACTGGGACTTGGCAGGTCTAGGTACATGGGGGAAGTGTGGATGAGAACTGGGTGAAAGGAGGCCAAGTGATATGCAGGATGCCCTTTCGGTACTGCAAACCTCAGTGCCTGAAAGGAAGCAAGGGGAAGGAAAGAGTGCCTGCCATGGAGGCGGGCTGGGGGGGCAGGAAGGAATCTGGGGACACTGGTGAAGTGAAGGGGACACTGGTGAAGGGATTGGTGCTCGATCACTTGAAACTCCATCATGAATAACCGTTCTTTGTTTTTCGGGGACTACACCTGGTGATGCTCAGGGCTTACTCCTGTTGGGCTCGGGGACCATCTGGGATGCTTGGGATAGAATCTGGGTCAGCCGCATACAAGGCAAGAGCCCTATGTGCTGTAATATTTACTCTGGCCCCAACTTGGTAATTTATGGTGATTTAATAAATAAGCGAACAGTAAACTGAGATGAAGTGTGTGGCTTTAAGAAGCTCGACTGTTGGAACCATGCTCAGCCTCAGTCCCTACCATCCAGGGACTTGTTCTAAATCCCCCGGGGAGGCCATCATACTCTCTATTACACTGTTTTCCCCTACACATTCATAGGATAAAATTTACTATACCACACAGCAAGAGATTAACAACAATGAAATTATGCACAGCAAGAGATTAACAAATAGAGTGATTATTAATGTATAATAATCCAAGCCTACTCGGATTTGGGCGAGTATCCTCCACCCAGATCCTCCAAATTCCAGTAGGCGGGGGTCACACCCACCAACTGGCCCCCTGGCACCGTGTAATCTCATCAACGGCCAAGACTCAGAGACTATAAAAACCAACTCCCAGAACCGCGCGGCCGCATTTGCGGCCGAGCGACATCTTATTATCTCATTCCTACTTTGGACAAACTGGCAGGCTACCGAATGTAGCCTGCCCACAGGGCAGAGTCTGGCAAACTCCCTGTGGCGTACCCAATATGCCAAATACCAGTAACAATGATGGGTCTCATTCTCCTAAAGAGCCTTGAATATAGTCTCAGGGCTAGGATGAAGGAGACGTTACTGGGGCCTGCTCGAGGCAATTGACGATTAACAGGATGATTTGTGATTTTGTGATTAATGTATTGTATAAGGTGTGAATCTCTCTCTGTCTCTCTCAGCCACACTCCGTGGTGCTCAGGACTTACTCCTCAGGGGTCACCCTTGCTGGAACTCAGGGAACCCTCTGTGGTACCAGGGAACCAGGCATCAAACTAGGCTCAGCTGTAGGCAAAGTGTGTACTATCTCTCTGCACCCTGTCAAAATACCTTACTGAAGGCAATGTTTTTTTTCAGACTGGCATGGACTGTGGGTAGTGCGAACCAGAGAAAACAAAACCAGTAAGGGGTCTATAACATTAGTTGGGCAACAATGGAAAACTAATGCATGTGACTACTTTCTAACTGTCAAGATAAGGAAACCAGAGGAAACCCATGTAAGAGACCAAATACTCACATCCACACCCATAAACCTAAAACTGCTACCTAGGGCTCAAGAATAGAACATTATCTTTTATTTGGTTAATTAGAAGGGAGAAAATTAATAGAGAAAAAGTTCTTTGTGAAGTCCGAATTAAAAGTAGAGTTTCGATTTGAATTTAATTTATCCCTCATTGAATTAATTAAACTTTCTTAAAGGAAGAGGACTTGGGGTGAAGAGTAGTGTTTGGTCTCCGAAGTTTATATCACTTACCCCAAATTAACCCCCAAACTGTGATGAATAAAGGTGACTGAACTACTTTGTTGGTAACTACTTTACCAACATCTAAATCCTTATATCTGTATCCATACTTTTTTCCAGAATTTAAGTTCAATTGAAAGTCTCCTTTGAAGGATAACCTTCAAGAAGTTTGGGGGGAAAAAAAAGAATCTTACCTTGCAAGTAGGACACAATCCACATTCTTTATCTTCCCCAAAATTAAGGCATCAGAAGGCTGCACACAATAAAAAAGGGTTACCAACAAAAACAACAACAAAACCAACCATTCCAAAGTCTCCCTTCTAAACTGGTTAATCACAGCAGAATTTGAGGAAGTTGGGAATTTGAAGGTCCACTAAAGAAGGTAAGTAAGGCAACAGGAACCAAAGAAGGTAAGGCAACAGGAGTGAGCTGGAATGTGACTCGGTGCTACAGGCCTCGCATACGTGAGCCCTGACACTGGGAAAAACACAACAGAAACATCAGCTCGAGTGAACCAAGCCGACAGCAACACCTGGTAGACACAAGGTCTGACTCAAGGCTAGGCTGGCTGGGACGCCAGGAGCTCAGTGAGTCACACAGTCTGAAGCAGCCCAATGGAAGTGGGAGGGGCACACCTGACCTGGCCAGGCCGAGGACACAGGGCTGGGAGAATAACCGCCCTTTCTATTGAAACAGGAGGCATGTTAGTGTCAGCTCTTGTGTCCCACAAGAAATCCTTTTGTAGGCCGGGGCTCACTCAGAAAAAGGTGACTGGGTAATACTGTCCACAGGTAATTCCCCGACAGCCAACAGTTACCTCTTAAATTAGTGTAGTGTGACCATCACACCGGAAGATGATCCAAATGCAGAAATCTGAAAAGTTCAGTTGGGCTCTGTGTGACAGGAGTATCTGACTTCTACAGAAAGGTATTTATTGAGAAGATATATATATATATATATATATATATATATATTGCTTTTTGGATCACACCCGGGGATACTCAGCAGTTACTCCTGGCTCATGCACTCAGGAACTACTCCTGGCTGTGCTCAAAGGACCATATGGGATGCTGGGAATAGAACTCCGGTTGGCTATGTGCAAGGCAAATGCCCTACCCACTGTGCTATTGCTCCAGCCCACGACTTGTATATGTTTAAAAGACATATTCACCATCAAGCCAAATCCACGGCAACAGATTTGGAAATCTGTCTTAACAGGGAGAACCCAGCAAGGTACTACTGGCACCTCTCAGCTGGGGCAGGGAACCATAGGCAAAAGCAATGATTTTTATTCAATTGTTTTGGGTTTTCGGGCCATACCCATACTGCAGGGTCTGTGCTCAGGGATGCTGGGGATCGAACCCGGGTCAGCCATGTGCAAGGCAAGCACTTTACCTGTCTTACTATCTCTCTGCCTCCCCTAATTTTATTTTTAATACTAAAAAGGTAGATAGGAGAAAAGAAAACATAGGATATTCATTAGTCATTAACAGGAAATTAACCTTTCCAAATGGAGTATCCACATATTTTTCAGTTCTTCCTTCTAAAATTTCTGGATCATCCAGGCCTGTTCCTCCAATTATTCCAATCTAAGGGAGACAATGAAAGGAAATAAATTTGATCTTTTTTCAATAGAAGTAATATTATTTTAACAAATTCACTTAGTCACACTCATATGCCCATCTCCAATCCTGTTTGGTTATCTTAAAAAATAGAAAACTACTGAAAAATAGCCATCAACCCACAGCTGATGACTTTCTAGTTTCCAGACATAACCAGAGCATGAGTCACCGTTCAGACTACAGATCACAGTTATTTACTGAGGGTGGTGGTTCACGGGCACTGCTCAGGGGCCCATATGCAGTGCCGGGGATCTGAAGATGGGTACTTGCATCCAAGGCAAGAGCTTTTTACCTGCTATAAATCACATTTATCAATGACTATCTGAATTTAACATATCATAATAAAAACACAGTCAAATGTGATTGTTGAAGTACTTTCAATTTTCCTGCTCTACAAGGTATACTATGGAAGTGGTTTTCAAACTGTTTACACATTAAAAAATATCATTTGTAATAAAAATGCCTATTAATATTGATAATAAATAGTACCACTACATGATCCAGGGATAACTTGCAAAGTAACACTAATTTTTGCATACTGGAAGTAGGAAGTAGTTATGCTATAACACAAAGAATGTTCAAAAGAAAGAAATATTTGTTAATTATTTCTCCTTATGACCCCATAGAGAACAGCGAAGACTTTCTTCTCCAGGCCATTATGCTCACCGAGCTGTAAGGGAACACAGAAAGGGGTCTGAAGTAGCGTGAAAAGTCAGTCTTCTGTATATCAAGGAAGTAAAACCTAACCATTTATTAAATCAATGCTATTTTTATTTTATTTTTGTTGAAGTCTTCAGTGAGAGATACACCTGTCACTCAGGTGTCACTCCTGGCTTTGTGCTTAGGTGACCGACCATACATTATCATATGACCAGGCATCAAACTGGGCTGGCCACATACAATCCAAGTCCCCGACCCCTGTACTGTCTGAGGCCCCCAACTTAAATTATTAATGTTCAAGTGCCGTACTGCATTTTCCAGAAGTTAATGCAATACTCTTTTAAGTTAAATCAAGTTTAATTTAACTTAATTAATCTAAGCTAAAGAAACCTTTAGAACTAAGCTAAAAAACAAACAAAACCATCACAAAAGAACTAATTAATTAAAATGCTCAGCGAAAATGAAACGATTGAAACCATTCTTATTATTCCTCCAGCTTACACTTCCTAAAGGAGAAATGGTCATGAAATTGCGCAGGATAGGGAGGATACAACCCGAATCCTATTTAAAATGACTGGAGCATTACTTTGTAATGATTCACATGAACTACACTGTCAACTGAATAAAATTATAGTATAAGTAGGAGAAATAATGAAATTCTAGAACTAAGAATTAACAGAACTTTTGAATTGAGTATTTTCAGATCAGTTTACAAGTTGATGCATATAAACATGGAAAACAATGTTACCTCTAAACCTCAGATTCCGGTGGAGGAGGGCGAGAGTACTGTAGAATCAACAAAACAAGAAAAACTAATGCAACTTAATGAGTTTTCGCTTTAAGAACCGCCAGCTGACAATTTATCATTTTTAAAGTTTTCCCACAACTTCCTGGAGTGGCTGAGCACATTTTTGAACTTGGCGCCACCTTGTGGCACATCACTGAAACCACAGTCGATTACCCATTTCATTTCTCTCCTGCCTTGTTACAAATTCAACAATACAGGTCAAGACAAAGCAACATGCATTTCCAAATCAACACTAGTGTTCACTTGCGTCACCACTACAGTTAAATCATTACCAGTTTCTATGGGTACTTTCTTTAGTGAGGCAATTATTTGTACTTAGGAAATGAGAGAGGAGAGTGAGCGTGTCATTGTGTAAAGAAAGTGAAATTATAAGTCCGAGTTACTGGGTGACCCCAAGGACAGAACGCTTCAGGGATATCTCACCTCCCCATTGTAGTGTTTTAGCAACTCCAGCTAACAGTGCTGGGGAGGGTCATTGAGACCCAGGGGTCAAACTTGGGCCTTCTGCATACAGAGCATACACAGTACCTATTGATGCACCACTCTGGCCCTGGGTTTTCTGACTTTTATTTTGTTCGTTGGTGTGTTCGGGGACCACACTTGACAGTGCTCAGGGCTTACTCCTGGCAGTGCTCTGGGGACCATGTAGTGCGAGAGTAAACCTGGGGCAGCCGTGTGCAAGGCAAGGGCTACCTCTCTGCCCATCACCTGGTTTGTCTGTTTTATAGCTCTGCAACACCACTGACTGGGGAGTTTGAAAGGGGTCTCTGTGTGTGTGTGTGTGGTGTGTTGGCCTCATGCATACAAGACAGATGCTCTCTTCTACTGTGCCAGACTCCTAGCCCTGACTGGGGGTTTGGGAGGTATTAAGAAACTGTCCTATCTGTGTCATCATCCAGTCTGAGAACTGAATTTCTGACTTTCAAACTACTCTTCGATGATTCTGTACACCTAAAAGCTTCTGCTTGCCTCAAAAACTGTAGCACGTAGCCCTGTCCTTCTGTTGTTCATCGATTTGCTCAAGCAGACACCAGTAACATCTTTATTGTGAGATTTGTTGTTACTGTTTTTGGCATGTCAAATATGCCATGGGGAGCTTCCTCAAAAAATAAATAAACAAATCTTTAAAAAGTAACATTTTGGCCTGACATGGCTATTTTTGGATGGTCATCTCACATTCAACTCAACACTTGAATGTACAAACCAAATCTGAAACTACAGTCAGTTGAGGTAAGTTAAATCCAACATTGCCATGGTGGTTAAAGAATGTAAACTCCGAGTTCTGTGGGAAGTCCAGCACCTGTGTCCTCTGCACAGAGGCCCTGGGCTTCATTCTGCATCTCACTGGCAGCTTGATGACCTACATCCAGGAGCTGGTTCTGCAGCCCTCCCTAGGAACAGGCAGTAGCTGGCAGGAAGCAGTGTGTCAACTACTCATCTGCAAGGGGACTGCAGGAGAGTCTGTCCAGTCACCCTCAGGGCTTGAGTTGTTTCTAGAACCCCACATTTTGCAAGAGACAGACGCAGGACAAGTGCAGTGACTGAACACTCGGCACTTGAGTAGCTGGTTTGCTGATAAGCATTTTCGAGCTGTGTGGAGGTCAGCAAGGCTAAGATGTGGCCACTGGCACCACCTACTGGCTCCACAGCGAAATACACGAGAGAAGGAACTCCCAGGCATGCTGGAGGGCCTCATTCCATGCTCCCCTGGAAACTGACTTAGTCCTTTCCTGGATAGTAGAAGAACTCCATCTGAGCACTAACACTCAGAGCATTGTGTCAAGTGTTTCGGGGCAGGTGAGCCTCCCAACTGTCCTACCCACTTCACAAATGAGGACAGCAACACAGGTATGAACAAGCCCAGGGATGGGAGCCATAGTCCAAGGATTTACAAGCAGTCAACCTGGGCTTGATCCCCAGCAAAGCCTATGACCGCCCCCCAGAGCATTGCCAGGAGTGATTCCTAAGCACAGAGCCAGGAATAGTCCCAGAGCATCCCTGGGTCACAACGGCCCTTCCTGCTCCAGCCGCAAAAAAAAAAAAAAAAAAAGAAAGAAAGAAAGAAAAAAAAAAGTTGCCCAGTAAAACTAGATTAGGAAGCCAAGACTTAGATGTTCTAATTCACTGCTGTCCAACTTTCAGGTATCCCTGGATCCAACCCCGTTTAAAGTCTTTTAAGGGTCCAGGTCATGAGGAAATGGGTGTAAGTTCAAGTTCTTTTTGCTCTGTTTTGTTTTGCCAGTTATGCTCAGGGGTTATTCCTGGTTCTGGGCTCAGGAATTACTCCTGATGATACTCGGCGGACCACATGGTATTCCGAGATCAAACTGCGTATAAGGAAATCACTCTACCCACTGTACTATATCTCTCACAACTAAGTTTAAGTTCTTTTTAAAAAAAATTTTATTAGAAACACCATGATTCACACAGTTGTCCATTATACAGCTGTCTCAAGCATTTATGTTCCAAAACCACCAGTGTGATCTTCCTTCTACCAACACCCTCAATTTCCCTCCCAATTCCATACCGCCCCAGGCACACAACAGGTTTGCTTTATATTGCTTATTCAAAAAAAAAAAAAACCTTTAAGAAATGATGAATAGAATGATCAGAAACTGAATGAGTAAGAGCCAATCTGTGATTACTATATGATTTTGACAAGTTCATGGACAGCATAGGAACAGTGACACTGGGTGGGCACCGAACTCCACCGTGGAGGGAAGGGGGCTCCCCTCCATGACCCTGTTCACTCAGGACCCCAACCAGTGACAAGACCCCACCAGTTTCAGCCAGAAGTGTCAGTACCCGGCCCAGGGAAATAAATGTGCTGCAGATCAAGGTGGAATGTGGTGGAGTGGGTGGTGCTCAGTGAGGAGTTGTTCGTCATTCAAGGTTCTGAAATAAAGGACTCCCCTACCCTCTACCAGATTTTCCAGCAAGTTCTCAGGCTACACCTTCTGCGGACAGACTGAAAGTCTGCCTCAAATAGAAAAGGTGTTACTCCCGGAGAGCTTGAAAGCAAAGACCCTGAAAGCTGGTTCACCTGTCCAAAACAGAGACGTCCAGAACCTAGTTCCAGAAGATTCTCATCTACTCCAAGTATAAGAAACCGGAGACTTTCTGGAATTAGGCTGAGAAACAAAGAGAACTGTTAATCAAAACAGCTGAAATCATTAGGAAATGTTCCTTGGGCTGATACTTCCTAAAGGAGAAACTGTAATATTTCCAGACCCAGCGCCCCCCTCCCTGCCCTCTCCCTCCAGGAAGGCATTAAAATCCCAGCTTGCCCACCTCACCTTCAATCTCCTAAGACAAAGGACGCAGAGTCCAGCCCAATCCTAAGGGGCCTGAACATTTCCATCCCGTAGTGGTCAGTAACAGGTTTGTTCAGCACAGCGGACCGAAAGCAGTCCTGATAGCACAGCAGGTAGGGCGTTTGCCTTGCATGCGGCTGATCCGGGTTTGATTCCCAGCATCCCATATGGTCCCCCAAGCACGG